GGAAATACATTAAAATGCATACATGCGGCATAATAGCATTAGAAGTTACCATATGGTAACGGTAGAATGGTTAAGATACATTATTACTAATATAGATGAAGTTGCTTAGTTTGACTAGGATTTAAAACAAAGATAAACATACATTTTTGGAAATATTTGTTACTTATTTATATTGTGCAAGTTTATCGAATCTTCTTCTTAGGGTGCCTGTCCGTTCTAATGTTGCCCAAAATCGGTCTTGGTCTTGTTCTTGCTTTTTTGCAAGACCAAGACCGCCTAATTTTAGCAAGACCAAGACCAAGACTTACCTTGCAAAACTTAAGCAAGAACAAGACTACGCCTGCGAGACTCTTGCGTCTTGCAGTTAGGATTGAGTGCCGTTTTAGCGAATATAGTAGTTCGGGTATATGCTTAAAGACTCTATAAGACGCACAAAAATATGTAATAAAAATTTGAAAAACTGGACTTATGCGCATTACGAACAATACCATAAACATACATACCGAATCAAAATATTAATTAAAAAAACACATTTGACACGTGCTCAGAGGTCATAATTACAATGTAAAAATAAAATATTTTGTTCATTCTTTCCCAGCAGACGATTTCTTCGCTCTGGAATTAATTGTCCAGATTTTGATAAAAGATGAAACATTTATTATATTAAAATTTTATTTAAATATTTAAATATTTATTTAAATAAATAAAAGTGTACCAAACTAGAGGCTTTATCTTTAATGGTAAAATACGAAAGTATATTATTTAAAACTGTGAATTTTCTGTGTTGTCAGTTCGCAATTGATTAAAAAAAATTTTAAATTCCTTTTATCACAGATAGTGTACTAAAAAGGTAACATAATATGTTTTGCGATTACTCGTATATTGGTGTCATCAATGCCGACAAAAAATACATTACTAAAACGAAACCTATTGCTTATTATATAAAATATTGGAGCTGTTGCTTGATAGTCAAAATTCTGGTCAGCAAAATATTGTATGTCTTTTTAACAAAGAAGTTTGATATTTACAACTTTAAACGACTGCGCTGGTTGTTACTATTTAAGCTGTTGGTATAATATTTTAAAGCAAAATATCACAATTGTTTTAAAACAAAATATCACAATGTTTTGTTTCTGTGCATTTACCATTTCGGAGGGATAGACGGTTATTGCAAAATGTTTGTACATTGTAAACTGTTTGTACTTATTTTGCTTTTGTACGTTTTTTTAAAGAAGCCTGTAATTATTGAAATATAAAAATGTGAAAATAAAGCCTTATTTTCTTTCAGTTAATTTTTTAAAGTAGGTAGATACATTATGCTCATTGACTTTGAACCATATATATGTGGCTTAAACTATTATTGCAGAATACCATTCTTATAATTCTTGGTTTGTTATTCGGTACTTAGGGTATTAGATAGAACAGTGGCGCACGCAGAATTTTCCTGTGAGGAAGAATTTTTTTTATACTACCTACATTTCGAGTCCTTAAAATTTCTGAAGAACAGTGTTGGAATAGTGCCTTGGGGTGGTTTAACCCCCAAAAGACCCCTGGGTGCGCCACTGAAATAGTAACGAACATAAAGTAACTAGTAGTAGTTACTTTTTCGACATCACTAAACTTTATTCCCAATTGAGCTTTTCTTTGAGTCTAATGTAATAATTATTTTTTTCCATATAATCCTTGTTGTTCTCGCAGTGACAAGTTTACAATTTGACATAATAGATAAAGATTCAAATAGTTCTAGTCGAAGTAGTGAAGTTAAAGGTGTAGATCTAAAAGACCTAAAAGCAAATTTGATGAGTTTTTCGAAATAATTCATGCATCCCAAATTGCTTTGTGTAAATTGTGCCTACATAGAAAGGTTGAAATAAAAATAAAAAACAGAAACACGTTAGGATTAAGGAAGCATCTAATATCTTTTCACAAAAAAGAATTACAAATATTTCTTCCTGAAAATCCAAAATTCGGTGGAGATATCACAAGCTTTTTAATAACCGCTGGAAAAAGTGGACATGTTAAAAATATATACTTATTACCAATCACATATATTATGTACCTACTACTGGGTAAATTATTGTCTTTATTAAGTAGGTATCTCCTTAATTTAAAATAATTCTTTTGATTATCATTGCTTTTTTACCTATTCCTTATTTTTCAAGTTAGTATTTTATATGAAAGTAGAACTAAGATTGTTAACAACATTTATTTTGCTTTATTAAGTGGATTATAGTTCGTTATCTGATCACCTAAAGAATCTATGTCCTTGATACATGTGAATTTTTTGCCACATACCAATCTTTTTTAAAATTTCCAATTCATATATATTGGGGGGTCCATCAGTTCCTTTCTAGAAAGATAATTTTCTTTAAAATACAGTTTATGTCATTAATTTGGGTGTTCTGTGTTTTAACCATATTTTAGCACATGTAAGCTTATGCAAACGCAAACGTTTATTAAGAAACAGATTGACTTTCGTAGGGAATAGTAGATAGCTGAATTAGTTAGAGCATAGGCACGGATCGCTTAGATCGTGGCTTCAAACCCCACCGGGTGTCAGTTGTTTAGACATTTATTAATTTGGTTGGTCTTTATTATGTCTATGTTAATTCAAGCTTAAAATGTACTTACTCTGTTACGTTGTTTTACGATCCAAAGTAAAATTGAATAAATAGCAATAGGCTAATGGGTAACTGCAAGACTTGCAAGACTCTTGCTGCAAGACCAAGACCAAGACCAAGACTAGGAGTGCAATACCAAGACCAAGACCAAGAGCACGTTTATTGGTGCAAGACCAAGACCAAGACTGTCTAAGTCTCGTCTTGTTCTTGCATTTGGGCAACACTAGTCCGTTCCGAACATTGGCGATCATTTTGGCTATGATGAATTTCTTGGTTTCTATACGAAATAGCTGTGTTGAGGTCTTTCTATACCATGCTCTCAGGTTAGAAAGCCAGGATATTCTTCTTCGTCCTGGGGCCCTTTTTCCTTCAACGGTACCTTGAAAAATGCATTGAAGTAGCTCATATCTGCCTTGATTTCTCAATATATACCCCAAGTACTGCAACTTACGGGTTCGCACTTCACGGGTTCACACGAAATCTGCGGTTCTGTTCATCCTCCGCAGTACTGCTTCATTGGTGACTTTGTCTGTCCATGGTGTCTTCAAGATCCTTCTGTATAACCGTAGTTCAAAAACCTAAAGTTTTGATAGAGTTTCCTCCTTCATTGTCCACGTTTCTACTCCGTACAGAAGCACTGAGTACACGTAACATTTAACGAGCCTTATTTTTGTTTCTAGGGTGAGGTCATGGCTCTTGAACACAGAGCTCATAGTCAAGAATGCACGTTTTGCCTGTCCGATACGACATTTAATCTCTTGGATATTGTCCCACGACTCATTGAATATAGTTCCCAAGTAGTTGTATTGTAAGACACGTTTAATTCTCATTTGGTTCACATACAGATTTGCTCCAGTTATGTTTTCCTTGCTGATGATCATTAGCTTGGTTTTGCTGGTGTTTATATCCAGTCCATATGTCCTATTTGTTTCCGTTATTTTGTTCATTAAGTTTTGCAGCCCTTTTATGTTATTGGAAAACACTATTGTATCATGTGGATACCTCCAGTTATTGGGCTTGACTCCATTTATTGAGATGCCTTTATCAATACCTTTTAGAGCGTCTTCAAAAATGTGCTCCGAGTACAGACTTTTTTATACTTTCTTTTACACTCAATAGTTGTCAAGTTATAAACTAAAAAAGTACAAAAAATAAGTTTTATTTTAATGATTGCTCTTTGATTTTTTATTAACAATTTTTTATAAGATGTTTGTTGATATTATTTCATGAGACATTCAGGATATATTCCGGGAAAACTCCACCTATTATCCAAAAATTTCCAAAACGTACTATTTTACAGATCTCGGTTGGAATATTAGTAATAAATCTCATTTCTTTTTAAATAATCTTGTCAAGATATGAACTACTCAACGATACTGTTTATATTTTATTAAAACATAAGAAATAATATTTTACAAAATCGGTAAGCAGAAATAAATTTATAACAAATCAATGACTAGCATCATATTGATATATACCTACATAATTGTGACATAACAGTTTATAACAGTATTTGTTACCTAAAATTTTTTTAACTACACACAAAGTCTGCAAACAAATCAATACTTTTATTTGTTTTATTTTATTTTATTACCTGGCAAGAGCCGAATTGCCGAGTAAGAACGGCTTTCAAAATTCTCTGTGAAATACAAGCTAAGGCATCGATGTTATAAACTAAGGATGGAGCATATCGATATTTTTACAAATGTAGCTGATAGACGACGGAACTAACGTCATATAGCTACAATGTCCGACGTGAATTTGAATTAAGTAGAAGGTCTTCTATTCGCCAACAACCTTGTAAAATGCACCCATTTCTCCATATTACTATCTTTATCACCCTACCACAATTCAAGTACCTACTTTAGGTGAGAACTCAATCAGATAGCTAAAAAAACTTGTAATTACACTTTCTTCTTAACGTGCCTTATCAAGACCACTTGAGTTGGCTATTAACATGGCAAAATTCTCTCTGTCTTGAGCTATCCTGACCAGTTATTGTACTAAGGTTAACAAAATAAAAATTAGACTTATTCACAATCAATTTATTGTACCTCGGATGACCGGTTTTGAACCTTAAACTTTTCTGCTGTTTCCGGAGACTTAAGACATTACTAACAGAAAGGACAAACACACATCATGAATTTTTAACGTAATTACAATAAAGAACTGCTCAAACAAAATAAAACAAAATCTCCCAACACAGCATTGTGAAAAACATTACAATTCCAACAAAAAATTTAATAAAGAAGCAAAAGCTATTACGATTTGGTTATGAATCTTTTAATTAATAGCAAAAGTATTTAAAACCGTAATGTAAAAACATCTCTGCATTATTTGTTTACAGACTTCACGAACATTTTTTGGTGTGTAACACTCCTACAATGCTAAAACTTCACACGAATCTATATTTGAGCCTTCCATGCGGCTAAAATCAGTAATAATGTCCATATTTGTACCGAACGCTGCTATACACCCTTCGAAATTATGTTGAAACATCCCATTGGTCTCCATCATTAAACCGGTCCTATTAGGAATCCCTCCAATGTAAAAGGTTCCCGTTGGGTAAAATTTTGCGTTTTTGTCTACCTTTTTCTGAATTTGAAAAAGTTTCTCGTCAATTTTTAAGGTAAGCAGCTCAATATTGAGGTCTAGTTTATGCCAAAGGCCATCAGAAAGTTGACTGTAGGCAGGAACTTCTAAAATATTTTGTTTGTTCTTTTCGAAACCTATCCATATCTTCAAAAAACCATTTTCTAGGCCTATTCCTATATTATTTCCTCCCTGAAAATTATAAAAAAAGGTAAATTAAAATTATTATATTGTCATAATATTAATATAAATATTAATATAGCATTAGTGTATATATATATATATATATATATATATATAATATATATAAATATATATATATATATATATATATATATATATTAAATGGCCAAATATATGGCCTAGGAGACAAATTCGCTAAACTTCCCGTGCTCGAATCGGTATCACTAAAGTGTTATGATCATTTCGGCCTATCCCAGCCATCGTCAGACACTTGGGCTGATACAAATTCAAACTCGGAACTCCCATACAGTCTTCGTAGTTGCTCCCATACAGTCTTCGTAGACACACTGTCTCAAGACTAGCAACTTCAACGTGGAGTCATATGTCGCCATGTTACCTAATCCAACGGTAACTTTAACATCTTAAACCATTATAAGAAAATTTGTAAACTAAATGTAATTAATTATTTGTTAACGGGTTTTTACCCATGTATTTAGTGGCTACATTCATGTACTCTTATACACTGATGATGGAATATGGATTCCGAAAACGTTTTGTCTGTTTAACTTAGCCCGTTTGGGTTCTTAATATATATCTTTTACAAAGGATTTTTAATAAATTTTTTAATATATGGTATACAGCCAACTACAGGAACGTAGATTCCTTGTGAATAAATCAAAGGTTTAATATTTATGCTTTTAAAATAAGGATTCCAAATAAGGTCACGTTAGTGTCTAATATATTTTATTCCTCAATAATATGTAAGGAAAAGTCTTGTATACACATGACCCAACATTTTACCCACCAGATTTAAGGATAAAATACTTAATAAATATACAAAATGCAATTTTAATTTTAATACCACGAATTTTATTCACAAACTTTTCTGACATTTTTTCCGAATCAAATGCAAAAATCATCTTGCTACAAAAAATTGGAAGGCATAGTGCTTCGTTGCCTCGCCCAAAATAAAAATGCACTATACTCCTTTTCCATCATATTGATAGCACATTATGTATGCAAATCCTCAACAGGTCAAAAAATCATAGGCGTCACCCTATACTTGTTTTGAAATAAATAAAAAAAATTAATATTTTACGATGCCGTCAACAATTCATTATCTTTTAAGAAATCTTCTGTAAAATAAGTGTCCACTAATCTCACTATACCTTTCTTGTGCGTAAAAAACGTCGGTATATATGCCACACGATTATTGTTAATTATACACGGGTGATTAACGAGAGAATTCAATGTTTCACGAAATAAATTAATGTAAACAGTAATTTAAAGGTGATTATTGTTTTCTATACAAGATATCGCCTGACACAAAAAGAACACCTTCTTTGAACGATTACCTGGAATAACTGATAAAGCTTCACTAATGATAGTTTAAGTAGTTTTAATGCCACATTACAGCTTATGCCAATCATATAAATTAGAAATTGTTTGCATCTTCCATTTAGTTTGTGGATGTACATTGTTCATGTCTTACCTACCAACGTTTTTGGTGTCGATATTTTGTTATTTGAATTTAAAAATGACGTCAACAACAGGTTTTATCCCGGTTAAGTGTAGTTTTAAAGGTACCTTCAGTCTAAGAGAGAAAAATATAATATTAAATGTACACGATGCACTTGTACATCAACGCCCTTTAAGTAATGTTCGTGAAATCGTTAACATGTGTTCAAATATGACAGGGGTTGGAGAAGCACCAATTTATAGATTCCTAAAAGAAAGAAAAGGAGGAACTGTTTCATCTTCCAAGAAGAGTGGAGGGAGTAAACCCTTGGAAATTGAAGAAATACATAAAAACATGATAAGACGCAGCGTCCACTCATTTTTTTTAACAAAGAATTTCCAACATAGGACAAAATTCAAACATTAATTAGAGAAAACGAACAGTTACCAATCATAAGCAACAAGAAATTATGGGGACTATTGAGAAATATGGGATTTCGTTGGCAAAAGAATAGAAGAAAATCCGTTTTAATTGAAAAAGATTACATTGTATGTTGGAGACGAGATTATCTAAGAACTATTAAAAAGTACTGAGAAGAAGGGACAACAATTTTTTATTTGGACGAGACTTGGCTAAATGAAGGTCATACTGTACCATATCTATGGGTTGAGACAAATGTGAAAAGTTCCCGTCAGGCATTCATCGAAGGTGTATCTACTGGAATAAACAATATTCCCGTTGGAAAAGGACGCAGACTCATAATAACCCATATTGGAAACGAATACGGTTTTGTCAATGGTGGATTATTAAGTTTTGCCTCAAAATCAACCAAAGATTACCACGAGGAAATGACTGCTGACGTTTTTGAAGAATATTTTGAGCAAATGTTGGATTTAATCCAAAAAAAATTCTGTTATAGTCATGGGTAATGCTAGTTACCATTCAAGACTAGCAGAAAAATTGCCAACAACGGCATGGAAAAAAGGAGAGATAATCGAATGTTTGGATAAACATGCAATTGAGTACAAGGAGAATTCGACAAAAAAGGAATTATTACCCATTGTAAGGCAACATAAAGCAGCTTATAAAAAATACATAATTGATAAAATGGCATTAAACCGTGATGTAATTATTTTACGTTTACCCCCATACCACTGTGACCTGAATCCGATAGAAAATATATGGTCTTAAGTAAAGGGTGAAGTCGGACGCAACAACAAAACTTTTAAATTAGAAGACTTACAACACTTATTAGAACATTCCTTATCAAAAGTAACTCCAGAAAATTGGAAAAATGCTGTTAGTCATGCTCACAAGGAAGAAAATAAAATGTGGAATTTGGATAATATGACTGATGCAATGCTGAAACCGGTAATAATTAACATTGGAGTTGAAGATTCCTTAGATTCTGAGGAAAACAGTGAATCTGAAATGGAATTTGATTAAAATAATATTCATTTTTTTTACAAATCGGCCCCTGTTACGGCCACAAATTATTTTATATATAACCAATAAAATAAACATCTTACATTTCATGCAAATTCATTAGTACCTGTTAATCTCCATCACTCCAACATTGGCAACTTTATTTAGAGATTAGTAACCCTCAAAACTATTGTATTCTATTCTGCTTCAACCTTTACAACCTGGTGGTCATACTCAATTAAAATTGTTTTCCTATATACTTCTGGAAACTTGTTGACAAATATCTATTTTTTATTGAGTCACCCGTATCAACAGTTTAGGGATTTGCATACATAATGTGCTATCAATATGATGGAAATAGACTATAGCGCAATATTTCTTATAGGAAACCAAAGAATTAAAAGTTATGCAACTACATGATTTATAAAAAAGAAACAAACAACATTAAAGATAGCGCAAATAAATGCACCCACTAGAAAATTAGAAACAAGCCATTAGAATTTGTTGCAACTACTTCTTATAACAAATTTTACTACAAACTAATTTCACACTACAACCACTCACCTTTCTGTTCCAAAATAGAAGACCGTTTGGTTCAACCGTAGTAAAATTTAGAAATATACTCTTCACACCTTCTCTTAGTTCTCTCTTCTTATCCCCAACCTTACTCATAATTAAGTAACTATCACCACTGAACCTGGGATTAATAACAGGAATTTCAAATTCGCAAAAAGCACCCGTCCATCCTACTTGACAGGTACATTTATTGTTTAAGCATATTCCTCTGTTTTTGCAAGTTCTTTCATCACAAAGCATGGTATTTTCACATGTTTCACCAAAATATGGTGCTGCACATGAACAGTGCGGCTTCATAAAGGAATCTAGCCAACAAGTTCCACCATTTTTGCACGCTTCTCCACCACATGGGGTCCCATCACAGTCAATAAGATTCCTAGAGTCTTTAATATTGTCTTTATTTAGTGGTATTTCTTTGTCGTTAATAGATAGGTGACGGAGACATCCTTTCAAATGAACAGGTAAACTAGAACCAACGAACAAGGGTAGTCTCGACATATCTGGAAGGCCTCCCAAGTAAATAGTTTCTTTATATAAATTTGTTGTATGGCTTAAGTCTAATATACCTGTGTTTATAATATTATCTACAGAAAGGTATACTTTTTTGCCGAAACGTCCGAACTGGATTTTGTGCCAAACGCCTTTGACCAGGAGTTTTGAACTTCGAATTACTAGACCGGAAGAGACAATTTTGCTGCTACCTATAGAATAAAAAGATTATTGCAATAATAAAATATGATATTTAATATTAAAAACATTAAAAGACAACTAAATTTTTCGTTGTTTTTTTATAGTCGCCGTTGCTTCATTAAATCCAATATGTTTTCTGTCAAAGCTTTCTTTTTCAGCTTTGATATGCCTTTTAAATTCCTTCCATAGATTCTCTTAACTGTTATAGTTAGGTTCCTTAAGCCTTACTGTATACCTAGCAAATTTCCATTCAAGTTTGGCTACTGAGTGGGGCCGTCATTACTTTGAGTCTATTACAAATCTAGTGGTTTCTTTTCCTTTCTGACATCTTAATGTTTAACAAATAATAATAATAAAGATAACATGGGTTGTATGTATTACCTGACTGTATTTTAAGTTCTAAGACGCCATTCTGAACCGATAAACAAATAAATCTTAGATCTTTTTTTCCCATATATAGGACAACACCATGATCCTTCAAAATCCTTATCTCAAATTGTATGTGGAACTTTGTACCTTCGAGTTCAACGGGATTCAGAGTTATAAAGGATCTTACTCCAGTTAAACTCACATCAGTAATTTGCTCATCTAAAAGTAAAATATATATTAAATTTATAATGTTATAGTCTATATTATAGTGTAATCAATAGGGTGACCAGATTTTATTTTGTAGAGCCAAAAGACCAAAAATTGCGCCTTTTGCACAAAACATTGGCCACCTCTTACCGCTATGACTTTTTCTATTAATTATTATTTTTTTATTATTTATACTGACTTATTTTATGTTGATCATTACTGATCTTCTCTACCAGTTTACAAAGTCCCTTAAATTTAAAACATGGTATACTCACTTTTCTCGCAATATTGTCCAACTTGGCCGAAAGGGCAATCGCATTCAGAATGTGAAAGTAAAGGAACACACCTTGAATTTTCTGCACACATGGTGTAATTACTGTTACATAAGTTATGCTTAGATGAACATAATGGTCCAAACCAATCATCTTGGCATAGACACCTAAAAAAGGACAAGCTTGTTATGTTATTTTATAACTTTTTACGTTAAATATATGGGAAGAATACTCAAAATACCATGGATCAGCAGAACCAGACTAAGAACTTCTAGGACAAATTCTATAAATAAATCTTCTAGAACCAGAGACTTCTCGGACTTCAGAAAACTATTTTAAATATCATTAGGAGACGTAAACTGGATTAAATTAGGGATATAAGTAGAGGACCAAGATATGAATACCTTTGGGTAACTCTTTTTCTTCTTTTTATATAGACATAAATCTGTCTGTGTTTCAATGTGCCTCCAGTAAGTTGTAATTTCATCGTTTTCTTGGTCTTCCTACTAATTGTCTTTCTATTTTCCTATTGGGGAACCGTCTCTTGGCGTTTTTACTACCCTATTTGTTCTTATTCGGCTTATATGACCATTCCATTCTACTCTTCTATTTTTACCCAGTTCTTGATGTTCCCCACCTAACATTTGTTTGAGCTCTCTCAGTCAGATCGTGTTTCTGCTGCATATGTCATTATTGGTCTGAGGACTATTTTGTAAATTCTGCCTTTAATAGTGTGGTGCCTATATATTTAAACTCCATCACTTGTTTTTTATCTAACCTTCCAGCTCTAATTTATATCTTAGTAGATTTGCTGTTATAACCATGAATTTTGTCTTTTACTAAGTCAAATAACTTATTAAATTTTCTAACAGTTATATTAAATTGCTGCAGCATACGTTGTGAATCATCTTCACTTTGAGAGATTAGGATACTACTACTGAATGAATTACGGAAAAACTTCAGGAGTCAAAAGAGTCTAACAATGCCAAGGCGAAAATACGTCTTTTCCGCACTGTATTAAAAATGACTGGCTAAATGAAATTAAATGCTGGCTGACTTTATAGTTTGCTTATACTAGTAGGCTAAAACCAGACTTGAAGTCTATAATTAAAGAAAAAATACGTAAACTATTGTATTTCGGCACTTTACAAATATCTGTGAGATGACATTGACTAATTAGTAACTTAACAAAGAACCTTATCATATCGTTGTTATAGTTACATAAACCATTGTATTCTTACATGAAAGTACTTCCGTGATGTAAACAAGCACCACCATTTTGACAGCTTCGTTCATAACATTCGCTTGTGCCACACTGGCCGACTGCTCTACCGAAAGCCTTCATTGACCCCTGAAAAGGTATGACCACACTTCCAGATTTCATTTCCAAATCATAAATACAACCTGAAAAGCCTGTATGTAATGGCAGATCATGCGGCAGCGTGGAAAAATTCTTTACATCGAATCCTCCTAAAACAATGAAGTTATACAATGTAATACTTTAATATAATAATATTTACTTTTAACAAACTCACGTAAATATATATTTCTGACTCGTTGGTCGTAAATAAATACTATTTTATTTTTCCTATGGTAATCGTTTTCCAAAGTAACGTCATGTATGGAAAGTCGAAGCAAAGAATAGGAGAGAATGGAGACTTATCCTTGAGCAGGCCAAGACCTACCATGGGTTGTGGAGCCAATGATGATGAATCGTTTTCTAAGTAACTTTTCCAATTATAACTTGTTTGCACGATAATGACGACCAACGAATCATAAATATGTATTTACGGTTGACTCTCAAGGTTTATACCTTTTTGGTCTGTTTTGCAAGCTATGCCGACAATCTTTACCTTAATTTATAATAGCATTATTACCTAGCGCTAAGATTAATACTATTACAAGAATTAATATTAAACTCAACAGTCTACCGGGTTAAACCACGTAGTTTATCATTGCGCCGAGCTTTCGACATCCTCTTTGAAGCCTTCTTCAAGGCTTCCTAGAATTCAGTCTCCCGAGATCCCAGACTTTACTACACCGATCACTAACCAATGCATTCTTAGTACTAGGAACAGAGGACGGTTCATTTATACCGTCGATGATGACAGTCAAATTTTGAATGGCGGGTGGAGCGTACGATAAGTTCTTTATGAGATGTCTGCGTTTCGAAGGTAACCGTATGCCGCCATCTCTTTTATTGAGACAATTGGGACTTCTCGGATAATTCTTGGTTTATTGTAAAAGCAGATTGGAACTATAGTTTTGGAGTTTTCAAAATCAATTTTGTGACATGTATGAAGATGGTATTGATCTAGAGCTGCAATTGAATCGGATTTGCGAACAGAAATTGAATGTTTGTTTGGCCTACATAAGATAAAGGGCAGTCTGCACAAGGAATTTGATAAACTTTGTGTTTTTCAGTTGGAATGTTGTCTCTTATGGATCGGACAAGAGATGAAAGTTTTTGTTGGGGGATTAATATTGTCTTTATTCCTCATAATTTAAGAATTTTGTCGATTTTGTCAATGACATCTTTAATGTAAGGACGAAAAGCTTTTGTATCATGAGGGTCTGAGTCTTTGGGTTGAGATTGAGTGGGAGATTGATGTCTGTGGATGCTTTTATTAATGACTCATCCTAGCCCATGTCCAATAGTTATATCTCAACCGTTATCTAACTCTAACATACTTTAGTTTTATACTACTATATATTTTGATTTTTTATTAAATGCAAAGGAGGGAACTTTAATGTCATAAATTACCTACATACAGGAGAGGCACTACATCTAATTGTACCAGGTTTCCCGGTGATCTTCCAGTAACATTTCCTAAATGTTCTACATAAAGCCACGCCCTCCGACCTACATGGCCTAACCGAACTAAGTAATCCTTAGAGCCTGCTTTTATTGCCTGTGACGTAAAAATCCTTCTAGGACCTAAAATAAGAAAATAATAAAAAAAGTTAAGTCCTATATTAAATCTTTATGATAATTCTGATAATTATAATCATCATGGTAAAGGAATAAGAACTTAGTAATAAAAGTACATAATTTCTTCGTTTTTAAATTTTTAGGATCACTAGTAGTAGGTACAAGAAGACAGTATCTGAGCGAAACACAAGACTTTAAATAGCGCAAATATTAGACAAGCACCCCCAGTGAGTAGAAGAAAGTTATGACATTTGTCGAATTGTCTTTAATCATATAACGGTTAAATTTTTAGATTCTCTCTCTCTCTCTCTCAAATACCCCCTACTTAGATCCAACTTAATTATTTATCTTTCACTTCACATACTAGATTATGACTTCCAAAAATAGTACGCTTTTGTTGCATTAATTTTAGTAAAAATATAAATTATATATTTACCTGATCCTAAATTCCAAGTAAGCATTATATAACCTCTTACAAAACTTACGGCCACGTGATCAGAATAGAAATCGTGATGACCAGCTTGTCCTATAAATAGAAGCAAAGAAATTTGTTCCATTGTTGTGGGTGTAAATCTGAATTTAATTTCCATAGATCTTGATATTCCATCTGGGAACGGGTAAGCTACAAATGATGATAAACCATGGACAGATGATGAAAAATAAGGTTGGATCACTTTTAAATCTAAAATGAAGAAGTTGATAATATATTATTTAATTTTTCTAATTAAGTTAAATATTTCGAAGTTTTCCACGTAAATATTTACCGTTTTCGCAAAAATGACCGTGTTTTCCATAAGGACAAAGACAGATATAGCCACTGTTTGTAAACGGTATACAAGTACCACCAAAAAGACATGGATTATCATCGCAAATAGATATTTCACAAGATTTTCCCAAAAATCTAAAAAAAAATTCAATAATTAACTATTTAGATATAATAAATGAACATGTAAATATTTGATTGTCAAATAAAAAATTAATTTAAGTAAAATTTATTGTTAAAATATATTATTTATAAGTATAATACAAAGTACTCCAAAACAAAAAAAAAACATTAATTTTTGTTGATTAAAACCTTGGATATTGCGACTTTTATACATTTTAATTCTAAGCCAGATTCCCTGCTGTAAGGACTGCTCTGTCAGTCAATTTATTATTGCCCCTATTTTTCCAGTAAAAAGTACATTATTATCAATGACGTCTTAATGAGTTTTTTACATTTTTGTCGGTCCTATCTTACTATTTCTCATTGTCTCGCTCCTGAGATCATCTTTTTACCTTTTCCTATGCTGTCCTACAGAGCTTTTCCCATCTGGTCTGTCCCAAAACGCTTTGTTTAAACAGCGATTTTCATTACTGCGTACCACGTGTCCTGTCGATCTTAGTCTATTATCCCTTATATATCTCACTAGACATTATTTTCCGATGAGACACTCTATATCGTCGTTTTGTCTGCGCCTCCATTTGTTTGTCATCCTTTCTCTGCAAGGGCCAAATATTACTTGAAAGATTTTACGTTGTCATACCAGCAATTTATTTACTTTTTTTGTTAGCTTCAATGTTTAGCTTCCGTACACAACTGCTGGTCATATTTTGTACCCGGTGAGAGAAGTTTTGACATTATTTGATGTTGCAGAGCAAAACAAAAAATCTGCGTTTCGTCAGTATTTGCGTTTTCACTTTAATAACGGCAGCTAGTTTCTTTTTGTATGCCTAGCTCAATCATTGCATTCCATAGTCTTAGACGATTAATTGAATCATAAGCCTGTTTAAAATAAAAGTAAAAGGCACGTACTTAGTACTAAAATGCATTAAAAAATATATTAACTAAAATATCCTTAGCCTTTTCCGATATTTACATATCATATTATTTGTCAGATTTAGCCATACGGCTCACACTCCCTCTAAGAGGTAAATTCACTCATCCCAGATACCTACGGTATCAAAAGAATTGAGCTGTGGTGGGACTCTTTTCATGTTATTAAGTCCTAGGTGACTTGGTACGTCGGTGTATCTCCCAAAAATTTTCGCACGCATCTAGACGTCGATGGTAGCACAGCTTTTTGCATGATCTTATATAGATGTTCATATAGACCCAGCTTTTTTATGTTTACTAGGAAGTTCTTCGGAATGACTCCAGTGGTAGAAAGAATAATAGGTATATTATTTATTATTATTTATATATTATTAAATGGTAATAGTATTATATTAATTTACCCATTTCGGCAGTGGCACTGCCAGTTTTCTCCGACAGAACTGCAAGAAGCACCATTTTTACACGGGTTTGATAGGCAGGCTAATGATGAACATTCGGTGATTTCATGACCATCTTCTGCATCGTCGTATATTTTAATTTTCTTTTTTTCAATCTACAAAAATGTTACACATAATACTTCCTTTAAAATTACAAGAAATCTTATTTAACAAATTTAAAAACACCACAAACTCTTTTACGATAACTATTTTTTAAGTATACCACTAGTGCCATATTTGTCATACTTTATATCGCAACAATCCGTACAAATTGAATTCTCAATTATAAATGTTGGCAAAAAATGAAATTAAAAAATTACAAAGGGGAAACATTCAAGCACACTCTGGCTTTTATGAGAATACTGCCATACATACAGTCCAGTCAGTGGTGTGACAACAAAACTGTGTCTTCTCTATCATATAATTGTGGAACTCAACCAACAGTCAAACTGGAAAGATTATTTCGCTCCGAAAAAACTAGGAAGGAAATTGATTGCCCAGACATTATACAATAATATATTAGGCACATGGGCGGTGGGGATCTGCAAGACTCCTTTTCAGGATTATATCCAATAAAAATTAAAAGCAAAAAATGGTACCACCAGATTTTTTATCAAATGCGGATGTAGCAGTAGTCAATGCTTGGCTATTAGACAGTCGAATCAAATAACAAATTGGAAAAACTAAAGAGATTATACCATTACTGAATGTTAAAACAATTCTAGCTAAACAACTAACTAACAGTGGTGTTTTACAAAAAAAAGTAGGTTGGCCTAGAAGTTCCACACCTGAACAACCATCCAAAAGAAGACGCATTGAAGCAAACTGGACTATAAACAGGGAAAGATGTAAGATGATAAACTGTAAAGGAAAATCAAGGGTCCAGTGCGAGAAATGTAAGGTGCAATTATGTTTTAATTCTAAAAGTAGTAACTATTTTAAGAAATTTTCCAATTTGGAATAGTTTGTTACTGACGATACATCGATCTAATGTGTATGACAATTGGTTCAAATAATAAGTTTTTATATATAATGTTCCCAAATAAGCACACATTTTTTTTTTCAACAACCGGATCACTTTAAAAAAGAAAAAGTTAAAACGGTGAATTATATATACATTTATTAAGATCAATTTAATATAATTTGTTTAAAAATCATTTTTTTAGGTAAGTTTGTGCACCAAAGGAAACTTCAGATCATATTGATGATGTACTACAAGATGGTACTCTGTATAGGACACTTAGAATACTAAAACAAGTGTTTGTAACAAGGTAATTGCAGCTACAGTTTAGCAGACAATATTTCCCTAAAGACACTATGAGCCTTCTGTATTATTTGACTAAGCGCACCCAAAAAAAACTGATCTTCAGTCAGTCACTCTCAAATGTTTACGGTATGCCTCAGGATCTGCTCCAGCTAATTCGGTTAATAATGGGGTGATGCTTCTAAATGTTCTAGACGCTGAATCCATGACCATACCCACCAACGACGATGATGCCATTTTATTTCTGTTCTACACTTATTACTTGCTGATGGTTTAACGTCATTTTATAAATTAATAAAATGAATGAAAAATAAACAACTAACAGCTTTAGCTTTCACTTTCACCAAAGATAAAGCATCAGCAGTGTACACTCAAAGTACACGATGTAAATTCACCTTAAAAGACTAAAAGTCTTTGAAATGTCGGGCTATTGAAGCATGCTAAGACTTTCAAATTTATGTCCATCAAGTCACAAACAACAGCATAGTTTAATAAATAAAAATAATCTGGAAGTTATGTCAATAAAGTAATGCAGGTCAACGTGATCCATCCATGAACCATAGCAAGAAAAGATGATGGAATAATTTATTATGTTAGATATGTATGGTAGAAATAACACAACTACTTCAAAACGGAAAATAACTTGTTACTGATTCCCACAATATCGGCAATGAAATAGAAATTATAGGACGAGTTGTGTGCTCTAACAGACACAGCGAGAGTCTTGAGGTATCTCGAAATTTATTATTTGTAGTTCACGGAAAGCAGTTCAGGAACAGAAACGAGCAGAATTTTTTACATTAGGATTTTCATCATGCTATGGAAATCTTCAACTAGTTCTAGAATTATGCGACACTGCACCTACCGATACTCTACAGACACTTAACAGACGCTCAATGAAATCCAATATTTGATATTGAAGAAACAAAAACACATGGATGAACTATGTGACTATGTGACAACAACATTTGAAGAGGACAGGAATGTCACCATCACACAAAATAAAAATGACGATACCGGACCACCTATTCTCGAAGAGGAAGTAGAACCTGCCATAAACAACATTAAGGAGGGAAAAGCCGCAGGACCAGACGAGTTCTACTCACAATTTTTGAAAATTATGGATAAAAACGAGGTAAAAAGACTTACCTTGATCTTCAACAATATATACCAAAGTGCAAAAATACTCCAAGAATGGCTAAGAGCAACTTTTATAACAATCCCTAAAAACCCAATCCAAAAGGCCAAAAAATGTGAAGATTATCGAATAATTAGCCTTATGAGCCATCTCCTAAAAACTTTTTTAAAAATTATACATAAAAGAATATATATATAAAAAGTGTGAAGAATACATGACAAACATGACAAACACACAATTCGGCTTCAGGGATGCATTGGGTACTCGAGAGGCATTTTTTGCAATACAAGTTCTCTTTCAAAGATGTAGAGACGTGAAAATATTAAATGCAATTGGTCTAGACAACAGATATCACCGTGTAATAAACAATATCTATTACGAACAAACTGCAGCTGTTAGAGTTGGGGATCAGTTAACAGACGACATAAAGATAAAAAGAGCTTTGCAACAGGGATGTATATTTTCCCCAATATTGTTCAATACATATTCAGGGCACATTTTGATGTATTTTACATACAATTGTATTTCTATCATTAAACTTCTAAACAATGACCATATTCGTTTTGACTACATTTATTTTCCTTATTAACCCGCTTTAAATCTCTATTTTTGTGTTTAGAATTGTGTATTACAGTTAGATATAAAAAAAAATATTAACATACTTTTAAATTTGTCATGCAACCAACAAAACCGTCAACAGGTATACCAACTTCTAAAGCCAAATAATGAGGAAGCCCACCGAGATACAACCAAGCAGTGGGGCGAGGAAATTTATCTATTTTAGCTACTTGATCCCCAGTCATAGACAAGCTGTCATTTACTTTAATCGATGCATTACAATGTTTGAAATCTTTGCTAAAATCCAACCTAAAAATATAATATCAAACAGTAAAAAAGCAATAACAACAATATTGGTTTAAAAATATTACCCAGCTTTGATGTTCATATCATAACCATTGTTAACAGGTACTTTAAGTTCACTGAGGAGCATGGTTTGGTATCCACAAGAAAATTTAAATTTTAAGAAACCGTTTTCCATGTATAAAGCCATGTGCGGTGAATCTACATTGGAAAAAAATATTATACCATCATTTGCCATAGTTTTAGCTATAAATTCAACATCCAAATGGTAAGTTGAAACATGAAGTTTATGTGAAAGGTAAGAATTTCCACCGAAAGCTGCTCTTTTGACACCAAGTTTGGATTCACAGTAAACTCCTTCGTAGTCAAAATTACAAAGGCACTGAAATACATAATAAGGTAAAATTTGACACTTTGAACAATATATAAATGTTACCTTATGTCTTCCCTCTATGTATATACATGTACCTCCATTTAAACATTTTGTTCTACTGTTTGTGCAGTCTATAATCACAGCTGTAGTGGTTACTTCGGCAGTCGTAGTTTCTATTGTTGTAGAAATGGTAGTTGTATCTGTTTTTACAACTGGTTCTGTTGTAAAAAACGTCGAAATAAATGTAGTCGTTTCTTCAGAAAATGTTCTGTTTCTTTCTCTCTCCCTAACAGTCGTACTCAAGGTAGTAGTGTCTTCAAAAAGGGTAGAAAAAGTTGTAAATTCTGTAGTCTCAAAAGTTGACAACATTGGCGCACTGCTAACTTCTATAGGAAACGTACTTGGAAATTCTGAGGAAGTTGCGGACATGTTTGAATAAATAGTAGACGTGGAAGGCTCAAACTGAAAATCTGTGGAGTAAACTGAGTACTCAGAAAAAGATGAAGTAGTAACTGTGGTACTTTCAAGATCAGTGACAGTATTTTCTTCTGTAGTGGTGGTATCATTAGTACTAACAATTACTTCCGTGGTACTTATTATGGTGGTATCGATAGTACTACTCTCAATAGTATTTGGTTCCGTGGAACTAATTTTGTCACTAGAACTCTCTATAGTACTGCTGAAAATGGTGTCTGTAGTTGTAGGTATAAATTCTGTGGTAGAAATAGTTGTACTTAAGTTAATATCAAAAATTGTTGTGACAGAAGTCGGTTCATTTGTACTAGTTATTGCTGTAGTACTAAGTGTCGTATTAGGAAAAACAGTGGTTAAAAAAGTTGATTCAAGATTGATAGTTGGCACTTCAGTTGTGGTACTAAAAGTAACACTTGTAGATATTGTCTGATTATCATAAGTAGTTGTAGTAGTTACAGTAGGTACTGGACTGACGTAGCTGCAGTCGAGAATACCATTAGGCAGTATAAGGCATTCGCATAAGACACCAGTTAGCCCTGGGGGACAAGAACATGTAAAATTGTCTACACCATCAATACAACTACCACCGTTCTTGCACCTAAAAAATTTCTAAATTTTAAAAACAAACACCGAATATATTTAAATAACATAGTTTAAATCAATTAACAAAGTTACACTTATTTCGGTATGAGGCATAATGATATTAAAAGTTTAAAAGTATGCTGTAGAATTTCTAATGGATTAGCAACCTTAGTGAAATGTGTAGGAGAATTATTCATTAGGAATGTATTAAAATTCATAAAGAAATACATTGCGTCCATATATTAACTCATAAATGCATTATTAGCTAATGCTAATAATGCATTTAGCAGCATATAATGCTAATGCATTATTAGCTAAATAAACAATAGGATCAGAAATTCCCGAAACAGGTCGATTTTTGACTTTAATTTACTATTTTTGCAAATTATAACTTAATATTCAAGGTGAACCAACTTCATCATCATCATCAATGGTACCACAGCCCTATTAAAGAGCCTCGACCTTCCCAAGTCTATTATGCCAGGCAGTCCTATCCATTGCCAACCGTTGCCAGTTTGCTGCGCCTATCTTTTCTACCATCCTCATCTACACCATCCTTCCATCTGAGTTTTGGCCTACCCCTTTTTCTACTTCCCACGGGTTGTGACATAAGGATTCTTCTACGAGGGCTGTTCTGCTATGATCTTGCTAGATGTCCTGCCCATCTTAGTCTTTCTATTCTTATAAGAGATACTACGTCTTTACCACCAAATATTTGTTTATGTCTGTGGTATAAATCGTAGTTGTATCTCCTCCTCTAAACACCATTTTCACAGATGCCACCAAATATTCCTCTCGGGATCCTTCGTTCAAATATGTTACTGACTCTATTGTTGGGCATCTCTAATCGCCTTTTCCAGTGCTATGTTGAAAAGGAGACACGCCAGCGCGTCTCCCTGCCGCAGCCCAACATGCGTTCCAATCGCCTGTGATTGTTCGCCCTTTATTTCGACTTTGCAAACCACATTACGCATTGTAGCCTTAACCAATCTTATCAGTTTATCGGGATGTGGAATTCATTCATGGCTTCATACAATTTATTTCTTAGGACACTATCATAGGCAGATTTGAAGTCTACAAAAATATGGTATGTATCGATATTGAATTCATTGGTTTTTTCCAGTATTTCCCTTAGCACAAAGATCTGATCTGTTGTTGATCGACCAGGCCTAAAACCACTTTGATATTCCCCGAGAAGTTCCTCTGAATATGCACTTAGGCGACCATATAAGATCCTCGAAAATATTTTGTATGCTGTGTTAAGGAGGGTTATTCCTCTATAGTTTCTAACTCCAATATTCCAATTGGTCACCCTTTTTGTGTAGCGGGCAAACGATTCCAAAAAACCACTCTTCCGGGCTTTTTTCCTCATTCAAGGCTCTCAGTATTATTTTATATATTTGATTAGTCACAGTAGCACCTCCACATTTAATAAGTTTCGCCGGTATACCATCACTTCCTGGAGATTTATTGTTTTTTAGGTGTTTTATTGCATCTCGTACTTCTTGAATTGACGGAGGCTCTAATGGTGAATTGTTGCTTGCTCCTGCGGGTGGTTGATTTGGATCTGGATCTTCTACTTCTATAGTAAGTAGTTCTTTAAAGTGTTCCCCCACCTTTTTAGTACTTCTTTTCTATTTAGTATATGCAGGTGAACCACCTTAAGGTTTACTAAGTGCTACGTGTGGTCAGTGCTGCTATATGGCGCAGAGAGCTGGATACTCAAAACGAGAGATATAAACAGATTAGAAGCTTTTAAAATGTGGCTTTATCGCCGTATCCTAAAAATACCATGGACAGCGAAAATCACAAATATGGATGTCCTTAAAAGAAGAAACCAAGAACGCCAACTTTTCGAAACCATCAAGAAAAGGAAAACGGCGTATCTAGGTCACATCATGCGAAATGAAAAATACCAGTTCCTCCAACTTATAATCGAGGGTAAAATTGAAGTCAAGAGAGGAATGGGATGCAAGAAAATGTCCTGGCTCCGAAACATAAGGCAATGGACAGGGATTAACGACATACAATCTCTGATACATATTGCAAGAAATAAAGAATTAATGGAAAATATGATCGCTAACATCCATTAGTGGATTTGCATCTGAAGAATAAAGAATTTTTTTTTAGATGGAACCCCTATATTTTTTAATTTATTGATTTTCTTGATAAGCTGATTCCAAATTGGAATTTTTGCATTTTTGCCACCCTGTACCAATTTGATTTTAGGAATCAGCTCAGCAAGGGAAAACTGTAAATTGAAAAAAAAAGTGGGGGTTTTATTATTTATTTAATTAATTTGCAATGGTTATAGCCAACCTTGATTAGTAGAGACGGCACGAGAAGAAGAAGTTGTTTATTTAGCTAAAATTTATGCGTTACTTTATAGACGCACTGCATATTTTAAGTATTTTCAAAAGTTTTGTAGTCCTATAAGGAAATTCCACAGAATTAGCTAATAGTCCTGTATAAAGTAATACCTGGGACCAAGCTGACATTCATCATATTGATACTGACACAGATCTCCATGAAAATCAGGTACACAGTAACATACATGGTGGTCATTTTCGTAGATACACAACGCTCCATTTTTGCATGGACTATCATCACATATTTGCATTACTTCTTCACAGTTCCTGCCAGCAAATCCTATAAAAGTAATTACTCTCGTTATATTTTTACATCTAGGCAAATGAATACTTATATAAAAAGTTATACATATAATAAAAGCATTCTCTCACTGAGTTCCTGCTTCAACCTAGCTAATTATATAGACTATTGATAGTTTTACCTTTTTTAGTATAGTGAACTGAAATTATGTTTTTGTAATCCCTTAATACAGAGGCTTAAACCTTCCCAACCCATTGAGCCACTTTTGGTCGCTTCGGAGAACTTTTTCTGTCTTCAGCCCACTGGCGTGTGTTCATTCTGTTCTCTGGAGGTTATTAGTGAATACAGGTTTCATCAACGATTATCAGTCGACACCAAACGTCCAACAGACTACGCTTCATGAGAACCAATCACTAGTTAGAAGTGCTTACACGATCATGTTTTTGATCAGTGACCAGCAAACGCCAGAATATTTTTTTCATATTCAACTAGCGCGCTCTTTACAAATTTTGGTGGCCTTTGTCAATTCACGCACCTCCACTTTACGACCAGCTAAAATTATTCAAGGACTTTCTTCGCATTTCCGGCATAACTGCATCGAAAAGCCGTCCACTACGTAGTTCATGCAATGTAAATATACGGCTACTACAAATTATCACGAAACCAAAATTTTACAGTATAGTGTGAAAGAGTATAGGGTGATTCCCTTAATACTGATCCAGCTTTTATTGTGTTCCTTTGGCTAATTTATTTATCAAATAATAATGTTTAATAAGAAATCTAAAAAATTTTCTAAAGATTTTTCTAAACACGTCAACTTTATACAGCTGTCAAAAATCTGTATTGCGCAAAAATTTGATTAGTATTCAAAAAACACGTAAGACTTTCTAGAAATAATATTTTTTTAATTGCAGCGAAGGAGGATTTTTATCAGACGATCTGTCCAAGACGTCTTAAAATAAAATATTTAATTGTTATATTTCGTCTAATTACTATTTTTTCTGTCTATAACTAAATATGTTTTATACTTACCAAACAAACAAGCACATGAGTAGTCCGCTAACAGGTCTATGCAGATAGCGCCATTTTGACAAGGGGCTGAGAGGCATTCGTCTATTTCCCAGTCACAAAGAAAACCTCCCCAACCTACAATAAGGGTAACCAAATTGACAAGATGAATATCAATTTAGGACTTTATGTAAAAGGTAAGACGTAAAAGGGCCGATGCAAATTTTTCTTTTCAACATGCTTTGTTGGTCAAGTAAGTGCTACAGGGAGAACAAAATTTAGTGGCATTTCTTTCCGCTGTATAAAGAAATTCTTTAAGTTTTAATATAAAAAGCTATCAGTCTTAAATACAAATAATGGAAACATTGGTAAGAATAAAAAAAATAATAAATTTTAACATATTTTTTTATGCATGGACATCAAAAAGCAATATTACAGCGGGAGAAGGTACAACAAAAGATATAAAAATTAAATTTAAATAAATATCTTCTTCTTCTTCACCCTGTAAGTCGTCTACTGCTAGACATAGGCCTCTTCCATTTGCTTCCATTGATTTCTACTCTTGACAATTCTCATCCACTGCTTCCCGCGACTTGTTTGATTTCATCTGCCCACCTCTTCTATGGTCTGCCTACTCTTCGCCTGTTTTCTCTTGATTTCCAGTTTATTAATCTCTGTGTCCATTTTTAGGGATTATCTCGGTCAACATGTCCGACTTATTGAAACTTGAGCCTTGCCATACGTTCTGCTACATCAGTAATCTTTATTCTTTCACCAATGTCGATATTTCGAATACTGTCTCTCAAACACATCCCTAGCATAGCCCTCTCCATCGCTTTTTGGGTTATACTGAGCTGCTCTAAGGTTTTCTTTGTAAAAGCCATGGTCTTGTCCTATGCCTAATTTCCACGAATTTCTATCATTCCATTGTTCTTCGGTCAAGTCTCGGGAGCTCATTGCCTTTGTTATTCCCTCCTTCCAAGTTCTTTTTGGTCTTCCTCGTTTCTTACGATTTATGTGGTATCCATTTCATGGCGATTTTTGGTAGTCTTGTTTCTGGCATTCTTTGAACATAGCCATACCATATAAGTTGTTCCCTTTCTATGTCTGTTGCCAGTGATCCATCTACCCCCATCCGATTCCTTATTTCATCGTTTCTAATTCTGTCTGCCCTAGATATTCGAAGTGATCGTCTAAATACATCCATCTGTTGCTTCGAGTTTTCTTTTATTGCTGTATATATGTGTATATATATTGTATTTTCGTCTTTTACCAATTTCTGAGCTCCAAAGAACTCCGTTAAGGCATCCAATTGTTCTACGGGCCTGGTTTATTCGTTTTCTAATTTCCCTATTGTCTGTGCCTGTGCTGTCGAAATCAATTCTTAGGTAGGTATATTCAGTGCAGAATGCAATTTCCGTTGTGTCCATCTGAATGTTGGATAGTTCTGCGCCTATTGGGAGATATTTTGTTTTTTGTGTATTGAGTTCTAAATCCCACTTTTTGTATTCTTTCTGTAGTTTTCTGGCCATATATGTCAGGTCTTCTTTATCGTTGGCTATAAGGACTTGATCGTCTGCAAACTGTAGGGTATATAGGCAAGTTTCTCCCAGGTCAATGCCCATTCCACTGCACTTTCTCTTCCACTGATACAGTGCTTTCGCCACGTAGATTTTCAACAATGTGGGGGATATGCAACACCCCTGCCGGAGTCACTTGTTTACAGAAAATTTTTTGAAAGTCTATTTCCAATTTTTATTCCCGACGTTGATCCTTCATAAAGCTGTTTAAGGGCGTTAATTATTGTGTGGTTTATGTTTGTTTCCTGCAAAACTTTCCATAGCTTTTAGCGGGTACAGTATCATAGGCCTTCTGAAAGTCTATAAGTATATAAGTCTATATATTTGTTTTGATTGATAGGTTCTCAAGTCTAACCTTATGCTCTTTTTAACTTTATTGTTAATAACCTTATACTCTGGTGATTCTTTCAATGTTCTTCTTCTTTCTTCCATTAAATTCAGTGTTGTTTGTTTTAATGTCATTTTTCTCGGATATGTATTTTTACCACAGATCTTTTTTGCAGTTTATGTTATGCCATTCGTTAATTTTTGTGTTATTTCATTTATTTCTTTCGTGTTGAATACTGCTAAAGGTCCTTGCATCTTTTTTGGTTCACTTGTATATTCCTCTTGATTTATTTCGATTGCTTCTATGTTTTGTAATTTATCCATAAAAATGGTGTTAATAATTTTCTTCTGTCGAATTTCGTATTTACTTCTATTAGCACCCTAACTAATCGATGATCACTACCAGTGTTGACATAATTTAATACAGTAACATCTTTAGCAATGTTTTTGAAGTTAGAAAGTATAAAGTCAATTTCATTTTATACTTTACCGCCTGGTCTGTGCCACGTTCATTTTCTCTGCATCTTTTTCTTTTAGAATGTGTTTAAGCAAAATAGTTTTTCTTTGCTAAGGAAATTTGCGAGCATATCTCCCCTGTGATTTCTACTTCCGAGTCCAAGAATTCCAATATATTCGTTGTCGTTGTTATTTTCGTTCTTTCCTATGTCAGCGTTGAAATCTCCCGTAATTATTACGTAATATGTTTTCCCTAAGTTTCTGGCTCTTGTAATATCTTCATAAAGTTACTTCACCTCGTTATCATCTGCAGAATAAGTTGGTGCATAACAGTGGATTATTTGCTTGCTGTATCTACGATTTAGTTTTATTACCAGATAGATAACTCTATTAGAAATCGTTTATAATTTAGTTACCAAGGTTTTAATTGTCTTATGTACCAAAAACCTACGTCTCCTATACCTTGGTTATTTCCTAAATTGAATTGGTCCAAAGTATGCCCTGATTTAATAAAGTAGTTTCTTCGCCTTTAAGCCTTGTCTCGCATAAGCTTACTATGCCCCAGTTTATGGTCTTAAGTTTTTCTTGCAACTCTTCTAGATTATTTTCTATCGTCATCGTTCTGATGTTACATGTTCCAATGTGCATTCTGTATATACTAAGCGTATTCTAGCCTCCCCCAGATTAAACAAGGCAGACTTTTCAACCTTATGGAAGGTGGCCAACACAGTCATATTTCCCAAACCAGGGGAAACTCCCAACCAACCCTGAATTATATATTCATGTCGCTAATTTACAAGACCTATTTCGCTAATAATCACCCTAGGTTAAGTCTACGAGAGGATCCTTAAGGAGAGGCTCATAGAATTCCTAGACACTCACTTCTCCATTACAAACTTTCAATTCGGATTTAGGTTTGAACATTACACTCAAAATGCATCGATTTAAGCAGCAACCTTCATATTACAATCAATGAACGAAAAAACATACGTCATATGCATCTTCCTAGATTTCCAGAAAACTTTCGATCAGGTCTGGCATACAGGACTGATTGAAAAACTACATCTTGCTGGACTGCCCACAAGTTTCGTTAAAAGAATACATTATCCAACACGCTATCCACACCATTTACTCTACAAGCCGAAGTCACCCAGGGCTTAATTCTAACTCCAGTATTGCACATAGTCTACAGCAGTGACATTTTTCGCCGTCAAACTAGATCGGAGTGTCCATTGCTAGTTGCTGACGCTCCTCACTGCGAACTTATACAGAGCTACGCAGGGACAACCCTTTATATTTGAATCGTCTGTATACAATATGGCCACCGTTATTATACAAAATATTTGGTTGCCTGATATAACTGATAAACTGATATAACTACTATAGTGTAAAGCATGTTAAAAAGCGAATGGTATGAGTAGTAACTCTTAGTATTAATATTACGGGAACAGATATTTACAAGTTCTTTATTATTACCTACCCTTTTGACATTTACAAGTAAAAGTCTCTCCAGGGCCCTCTTCACAAATGCCTCCATTTGCACATCTGGTTTCGTTGGTAGCATTGCAAACGGCTATATCGACTTCACAGTGTACTCCTGAGTAGCCAGGAAGACAACTACAGGTATATCCATTTTGTGCGTCTAAACAGGTACCATTGTTTTGGCAAGGATTGCTGTCGCATTCGTTGATGTCTTCTTCGCAAAGGGTCCCTTTAAATGTCAATATGTTAACTATATTATAATAGTCCGAGGAAAAATAAAAAGGTTGTAAATTAATTGAAACAGATCAGATCAATTTAAAATATAACATTGATTATCTAAAATTAACTATTTATTTATATTGGTCATAAAACATTGTTGAAATAAACAATTATAGCAAGAGACATGGTTATACTATAAGAAAGTTTGGTATAACAATCAAATCTTGAAATTATGAACTATAACATCATGTTTTTCTTCCTTAGCTTTTTTCTATTTAGAGGTCCTCTCTAGCCTTTTGCCTCTCTTGTTACATGATGTCCCTATTACATCATTGCGATTCCAAGTTGCAGTATCATAACCAGCACGATTTTCAGATCTATAAGAAAAGCTATAATTTCTGGTACAAAATTAAGTGCCAAATTTTCATCTTACTTAAGGGATGTATTATTAGAAAGAACAGAAACCGCCATCGCAATTTTTATTGAGGAACTAATTCAAAGAAGAATTCCTGTAAATGTAACTCTTGAGTTGTATTAGTTAATGTAACAGTCAGGGCCACCAACTTCCACTTCCCAAGCTGGTAAAAAATTTTCAGCTAGCAAAAGATTTATAAAAAGAAATGCATTTCATAATATCAAGATCACGGGAAAGAGTACTGCAGCAGATAAAGCAGCAGCAAAAATATTTCCATAGGAGCTAGCAAAAATTATTAAAGATGGTGACTATTGTGCCAATCAAGTATGTAATGCTGATGAAACGGGAATGTTTTGGAAAAAAATACCTAACCATTCTTACATCGCAAACAATGAAAAAACCGTAAGTGGACATAACGCAAGTAAAAATTGAGTACCTTCCGCAGACATCCTGACAATGCGGATGCTTTGTTGATCTGACTCCTTAGGTCCTTTACTGGGTCGTGTGTGTTTAATATATCTATGTTGAAACCGGTCTTAATAAATCAATCTCTTAGACCACGTGCTTAAAAAGGCAAATAATAAAAAACATACAGACGGTAAAACACTTCACACTTGTATTTTGGTATAAAAACACATAGTTAAAACTTTTTAAAAAAGTGTCGTCAAAATTTATGTAGTAGCACAACGTTTTTGATCTGAACAGATCATCCTCAGTGCCTTATGTAGTTGAAGCTAACAATAAAGTTGTGGCTGTGACCTCCATATATTGGTTTACATCATTCCAAATTTTAAATTTTAATTATGTTGTGACTCTAGGTCGATGACAATGGATAAAATTTTATTACTTTAGGGACTACATGTCTCCCTGTTCGATTTTTAACACGTGGTACTTGTCAGTTAAAACGACACAGACCAACTGCTCCTTCTTCTTCTTCAGTGCCTTATCCGGTCCGGATGTTGGCGATCATCAAGGCTATCATGGTTTTGTTGACTGCTCTGCGAAACAGCTCCGCTGAGGTCATCCCAAACCATTGTCGAAGATTTTTCAACCACGAGATACGACGGCGCCCCGGTCCTCTTCTGCCAAATACTTTACCCTGCATAACGAGCCGCATCACGTGGCCGAGGTACTCAAGCTTACGTTGTTTAATTAAATTAAGAACTTCTTTTTCTTTTGTCATGCGCTGTAGGACCTCAACGTTGGTGACATGGTCCACATAAGATATTTTTAGTATCCTTCTGTATATCCACATCTCGAAGGCTTCGATTCGTTTTTCAGTGGCTTGCGTCAGTGTCCAGCTGCTCCAGTAACTGTTTTTATGTGTCAATGTATTGTGTAATAGCTACAAAATGAATCTTAGGACGACTAAGTCATAAAAATAAATTAACTTTTTCAATTGTTCTAAAACAGTTACGATTTTTTATATGGATGTCTTGAAGCAGAATTAAATAAACTCGAAATTTTGGAATATTAGGACGGTTGAAAATAAAATTTACCCAATTCATTTTGTTAAATGTAATACATAAAATAGAAAAAAAAACGTATAGAAACCTGAATGTAATAATTATTTTGTTTTACAATACCGTGCGACATCTCGTAGCCAACAGTAAAAGTTAAGAAGAAAGATTTAATTTCAAATATAAGTTTCTTCTGTTTTGCATCGTAAAATAAAACACCGATTAATCAATATTTAATTTGGAAATTAAAACCTATTATTTTGTTTTAAAATATCGTGCGACATCTCGTAGCCAAAAGTAAAAGTTAAGGAGAACGATTTATTTTCAAATATAAGTTTATTCTGTTTTGCGTTGTCAAATAGGACACGAATTGTAATATTCTTATTATAACCAATATTTCAATATTTAATTTGGAAATTAAAACCTGACGTTTCAAAAGGTATGAGGGAAAAAATTGTTATTAAACTATGTTTTAAATACTTTTCATTAAAAGGCATCTAATGGAATAATAAGAAGTTTTTCAAATCATAAAAAGCGTATAATAGTGATACAATAATAATAAATAGTGAAATACCTCGAGAGTATTTGTGGTGAATACAAGATTAAATAGCCAACAATCTTTTAGGTGCTATGGCCAGTACTGAATTGAGTTTCCAGTGAAGTTTCCTACCAGTGTGAGTGTGTGTCTTGTGTTTTTCCTTCCAGTATAAGAAGATTTGCTATAGATGTATATAGATAAATTCTTTTATAAACAGTGGTAATAATAAATTAGATATAGAACTGGAGGACAGTGAAGCCGAATTTTAATGTTTATTGCGCGTATTGTTCGCTAGGTGGAAACAAATAAGGGGATAAAAAATGTAAACATTATTTCAAACTTCACTTGTTTCCTCTGATAATTAAATGGAATTAGCTGTGTGTGGTTTTAAGTAAGATAATAGTGAGGAGTGTTTGCACCAGCTCTAATTGTAATTAAAAAATTAAAGATCTAATGAAAAAAAGGAAAAGGGTAATCGTCAAATTTTGTGACAATTGACAAATGACAATAATAATTTATTTGAAATCCTTAACTTATGCATCTGGCAATAACAGAGATGTACCTAAACATAAGAGAAAGCTTTAACAAATAATCCACAAGGAAAATTCATTAATGTCGTAGTTTGCGGCTGTATTCCATAAATCACAAAAATTTATGCTCTATAAAAAGGAAAAAGAACCCTTTCGGGATATATAGAACGTTTTCGGTATGAGAATTCCATCATCAGTGCCGATATTAGGTATAAATGAGTGAAGCCACTAGATAAATGGGTAAAACCCTTTAAATGCTATTAAATTTAATACCTCTATTTAAGTTTGTCACTCCATTTTTTGCGAGGTCTTCCGATACTTCTTCTGCCGATTGGTGACTTATCTCTTGCTGTTTTGACAACACGAGTCTCCCTCATTCTGCTTATGTGATTATTCCATTCTTTTTTTTTTCTATTTTATGTCTTCATTTATACACTGTATGTTAAATTTTCTTCTAATATCTTCACTTTTCTTTCGATCTTTCAGCGTATTTTTATTTTAATTCTTCTCAGTACTTTCATCTCTGCCGTTTATAGTAACCTTTGTGTTGTGACTGTCTCAGGTCTTGTTTCTGAGGCTTATGTCAGTACTGGTTTTAAAATGGCTTTATAAATTCTTGAGTTCATCTTAGTTTTAATGTGTCTCTTTCGTCATATAATGTTATTGATGCAGTTGATCTCTGACTTTTTGTCAAGGTCTCCATAGTTGGGCAATGTAATTCCAAGGTATTTTATTTCCATTACTTACATTTCCATTACATTGGGCGCCAACGTGGGGCACCAAATTAATTTTACTTAACTTGAATTTTAATATTCAATATTATGATTATTTGATTATGATGATTAATATTCAATTTCAATTAATTTTAATTGAAATTTAATTAAATTTTCACTTGACTTGAATATAAACAAACGCTGAAATAACAAAACACAACAAAAATTAAAATGTAAAAGACTCCATTTCTACGACGTACAAAAATTATAAGGCGACCTCGAATAAAACATTAAAAGAAATTGCCGAAGTACACATCTTTAAAATAATAAACAACTCTAAAATGGTTTTATTACTTGGCGACGCTGTAAAGAACGAAATATTATTTGGGTTTTAAATTGAAAGAATTCGGTGTTTTAATACGTACAAATAGGAAACTAAAATAGAATAAAAAAATATTCTGCGATTTTTCAAACATTTATAAAGGGATTTCAATATATTACATATACGAGGGGATTTCAATATACACCAAAGAATCCATGAAATTGCAAATGCTACAAGGTAAAGATATGTATGATGTAAAAATAAACTGATAAATATTGAAGGTCGGTTAAACATCAATATACAAACTATTAACACAAATTGATGTACTTACCAGAATATCCAGCTGGACAGGAACAATTAAACATAGCGATTCCGTCGATACACACCCCACCATTTTTGCATGGAGATGACCAACATTCGTTCCAGTTTGTTTGGCACTGTATGCCAGTGTAACCGTCGATGCAGTAACAAAAGTATGTGGAGTTTAGATCATCTAAACAAACACCATGCACGCATGGGTTACTCAAACAGGCAAATCCGTTATGCACGCCGGGGAAGTCCAGTACAAAGACAGATAGCATAAACAGCCATTTCTGGCTACCGATTTGGTACATGTTGCATCATTGGCTTTTCCCTGTAAAAGGTTATATACTCTGATAAAAGTATCCAATTAACAAGAAGATACACTTCAGAAATAAAAATAAGAAGCCCTTAATTCTTACAAAAATGGATTTTTGTTATATAAACTTATATTGTAAAACAGTTAGAGAAAAATAATTTATAAGCTTGAAATAAAAAGTAAACGGAAAGGAGATTATTGTTTATGCACTATTTCTCCTAAATAATATACTAGGAAAACATGGAAACAGTCATTCATAAAATATATGCTTATACCTATGTATAATTTATTTATATTTTAAACTATTCTAAACTGAAGTTGAAAGAACAAAAATGATCCTCAAAAAGAGGGGTGAAAGATGCATGTTTCCAGAAGATGTAACACTTTCTGAAGAAAACGTTAAGACCAGTTTAGCTACATACGACGTAGAGAATATTAGCATCAACGAAATGAACAATAATATTATTCAAACATTGAAACAAGCTGAAAGGGAATACTGTCCTCATACTAAAAATGAAACCAAAATTAAGCCTCAGACAAAATATCTTCTACATGAAAGAAGAACACTCAGGGAAAATCAGGATCATAACAAAAATGAACAAGGGAATCTTGAATAAGAAAATTAGAAATAAGGTTAGAAATGATCTGAAACGATGGAAATAACTAGAGTAATGGAAAAAAACAAAAGATTAAAGGTAGTCAGACAGGGCATGTTCATTGTACGAAAAAACATCTACAAATTAAGAAATGAACAGGGGCAAATCACAGAGGATCGAGATTAAATCATGAACACTCTAGAGAGTTTTTATAGCCACCTACACAACAATGTATTCGGCGTGGATCATTACCAAAGATAATTAATCAGGGATCTAAAATTTTACTGAACGTAACAATTAATGAAGTTCGAAGGTCAGTGCAATGATAAAAAATGGCTAAAAAAAGATTATGGCAGGTCCTTGCAAAACTATTCACCAGGTAGCAGTATCACCAACTCAGTGAAATAACCAATGTCTAGGTTATCATACTTCATAAAAAAGGCTACCGACTTCAAAAACTGCAGGCTAATAAGTCTACTTTCCTATATTTATAAACTATTTGCAAAAATAATTACGAAACAATTAGATAATAAATCGGAATTTTATCAGCATATAGAACAGACGGGTTTTAGAAAGGGCTAGGAACAAATAATCATCTATAAGTAATAAAGAATGTTTAGTAGAAAAGTAGAAAAATTTACTAAACATAATAAACAGCTAGCTATAATATTTGTGGATTATGAACAGGCTTTTGACACCATACATCAACAAAAAAATGTCGGAAACCTTGGCATAATTCCGAATTGACTATCAGTATATAAATATAATTAAACACATATACAAAAAAAAAACGTAACTGCTAGAGTAGAGTTGGTGATCGTCAAACTCAGAACCTCCCAACTTGTCGAACTCAAACCAGTATGTCTTTAAAGAAAAACCTTTAATCAGTGTGCTTTGCCAGTATTGACTTAGGGAGCAGATATGTTGACCATGATAAAAAGAACAGTGTAAAAAATCCGTGTGACTTAATGAGACAAGATCCCAAATCAACAGCAATAACGAAGATCAGGAGTGGCTGATGCTGTAGAGACAATAGCAAAGTTGAAGGGAAAGTAGAACAAAGAGGATAATGCAATGGAGACCAAGCCGAGGTCGTCCACCAACACGTTGGACTGTCGATCTAAAACGTTGACATATGAATTGTATGGAAGAGGCACAAGATCGAAACAGATGGAAAATTATGAGGGAGATCTATGTCTAACAGTACACAAACAAAGATTAAATGATAATAAACGGATAATAAAAGTTAAACGAGGAGTCCGACAAGGCGATATAATTTCACCTAAACTGCTTACCTTGACCCTCGAAGACATAATAAAATCAATAGATTGGGAAAACAGAGGAATATGTATTAACGGAAAATACCTAAATCACCTTAGATATGCGGATGACATACTCCTGATCTCCTCGGAACGACAAGAACTGGAATTAATGCTGAATGAACTTCATGAAAAATCACTGCAAAATGGCCTAAAAATTAACTTCAACAAAACAAAAGTAATGACAAACACGGAAGACCAAGAGGCAACAAAAATAAAAACAGAAAAAATAGAACAGGTAAATGAGTATATCTATCTAGGACAAGCAATCAGAGCTAATAGAGAAAATCAAACAGCCGAAATATCGAGACGAGTAAGAATGGGATGGGCAGCGTTCGGCAAACTTTCTTACGTTCTAAAAAATCAAACAATTCCTCTATACTTACGAAGCAGGGTATATAACTCCTGTATCATACCGGTGCTCACCTACGGAGCACAGACATGGACATTTACACAGGCCAATTTGGATAGGATAAGGAAGGCACAAAGAGCAATGGAGAGACAAATGTTGGGTGTATCACTTAGAGATAGAAAACGTAACCAGTGGATCAGAACCAGAACAAAGACAGTAGACGCGATAGAACAAGCAGCAAAACTGAAATGGAAATGGGCTGGACACAATGAACGTCTCCAAAACAGACGATGGAACAATGCCATCGGAAAGTGGCGTCCACACAATGCAAAGAGATCAAGAGGCAGACCACAGATGAGGTGGAAAGATGACATCAGGAAACAAGGAGGTCCCACATGGCAGAGAACAGCTCAAGATAGGGAAAGATGGAGAGAACTGGGGGAGACCTATATCCAACAATGGAAGGATAGAGAATAGGTTCAAAAAAAAAACGGTTTGCTTGCGGCATCTTGTTGAATATGTTGAACATATCGTTTGAAATCAACCGCAAATTATGAAATAAATGATTGATTTATCGTTTCCGGAAAAATCGTTTTTGAAGGGTTAAGTCGCAAAAGCCTTCTAAATCATATTTATTTGAAGAATCACTTTCTTTTGCTTATGATATCTATTTGATAATCTTTTTCCATTTTTTTCTCTAGTTGTTTCCTGCTATTCTCTTATCCTGTGTTTTGTGAATCTTCTTCAACTTTCAGCAGCCACTTTGATCTTAGTCTTTCCTTTTTCTTTCATCATGGCCCTCGGAAGCCAAGATCCGGTAGGGGAGAAGAAGACAAAGACCCTCAGGTCGTTAATCAGCGAATTCCTTGTCAAAAGAACGTAGATGAAAAAATAAGACTGTCTAATACTAGAATAGGAACCTGGAATGGTCAGAGCATGTTTTAGTCTGGTAAAACGCACAATGGTATTCAAGAAATTAACCAGGATGAATATCGATGTACTGGGTATCAGTAAAGCCAGGTGGCCCAACTCAAATTGTTTTTCAACAAACAAAGCCACAATATATTATTCCGGTAGCGAGAATAACCAACACAGACACGGCGTGGCAGTAATAGTTAATAAAAAATCTGATAGAGCGGCGGAATACCATTTCCCTATCTCAGAAAGGGTAATGGTACTGAAGTTACCAGTGAATAGCGAAACAAGAAATAAACAGACTGTATACATGGCGATCGCCCGCAGATACATCGGAGAAGGTAGTCAGGAACCAGATTATGACTACAATATGATCAATGAAATATAACTTAATGCTGTTAAAGCCGTGAAAGCATATCCTGGATCAGACGTGGCTTCAGATCACAATCCACTTATCGCAAACACCAATGATATTGACGAGTACTGGGATCGACTAAAACATTGTCTACTGGAACCCTGTAAAGAAATACTAAAGACTTCCGCAAGGAGAAAAGAAGAATGGATGAATGACGAGATATTCAATATGATGAAACAACGGAGATAATTTAAAAACAAGGGCAACAATAAATACCGAGAGATAAACCACGAGTTCAGGAAGATGATAAAGCAGGCAAAAGAAAAATACTTGGAAGAGAAATGCAAAGAGCTCGAAGACCTTCAAAATAAATATGATCTGAGATGATTGTCTACCTTCACCGCGGAGATCGCACTTGAAGAAGAAGAATAAAGGAAATCGCACAGCAAAATTAAAGACCGCTCGAATGCTGTAGAGTATAACGTGACAAAAATCCACGATATCGTATTGGCAGACCACCAACTAAAGGTACGCGAGATAGCTGAGACAGTAGGCATGTCAAAAAACCGAGTATCTCATATCCTGCGTGAAATTTTGGGCATGAGAAAGCTGTCGGCGCGATTGTTGCCACGTTTCATCACTCCAGACAACAGTCTTAAAAGTGAGATTATTTCAGAGCAATGTTTGACGCTATTTAAGCGTAAGCCGAAAGAGTTTCTACCAGAGAACTGTTCGTAGTTCTCTGGTTTCTACGTCGTGATCTACTTCGACTACTTAGAGAAGGGCAAAACGGTCACAGGACTCTACTACTCTGAATTATTGGACCGATTTGACGCCAAATTGCAGAAAAAACGACCGCATTTAGCGAAGAAAAAAGTGCTGTCCCACCATGACAACGGACCAGCTCATGCCTCCGCCGTTGCCATGGCGAAATTGATTGAATTTAGCAAAAATTTAAGTTGAAACAGTAGGTTATCGCCGCCATGAGAGCCTACTTTGCAGACCTCCTCAAAACTCTAAAAGTAGACTATGTTAAAAATAAATCGCTACTTTTCCAAAATGTTCATTTTTTTTTTGTAGGCTACAATTTCTTTTGTACATCAAAAAAAAATTATATGAAATAATAGATGAAACCAAAAAAAGGATTTTCTGAGCCAGATTTACCTTTCGAGAATAGCTGAAAAGTGAACCTGATAACAATACAAACCTACAAGTCACCATTAATCTAATGAAAACGGTCGTAAGAAAAATTAAAACTCACAAATCTCCAAGCATTGGAGGAATTTCTGCAGAGTTGTTTAAACGCCTCAGACAAAAGATAAAAATTGCCATAGGCAATGTTGTTGATAAAATTTGACCAGACGAAAGAATTCTAATACGCCTATTGAACATAAAGGAAAACTAAATGGAATGTGATAAACTGGGGCAAATAACGTTTCCGAATAACGCCCACAGGAT